CCCACCGCACGCCCCCCCGCACGCCCCCGGGCACCAGCACCACGAGGTGGGGCCCGCGCACCCTAGCCAGGGGCCTGCGGGACCGCTCAAGGTGGAGCAGGCGCAGCACATGTTCTCCTCCCAAGATGAGCTGTACGACCCCCTGGGGCACGTCAGCCACCACAACCACCATCACCACCACCTCCACCACCACCACAACCACCACCGGGAGGACTACGGAGTGCCCCGGACCGAGGCGCAGCAGTACCTGGTGCAGCGGCCGCCCGTCTCCCCCCAGTTCAAGGAGGAATACTCGTCCCACCAGGTGGGCGCCCTGCCCTCCCCCGACACCCACCACCCTGGAGGCCAGCTCTCCGGCGGCCAGTCGCAGGGCACCGTGCCGTCACCGGGGCAGGGACAGGCAATCCTGGGCGGAGAGGCCCCCTACTCGCACCTCCACCTCACGCCCCACCACCATCACTCCCATCACCATCCTCACCACCACGTCCACCACCAGCTGCAACACCAGCAGCAGCAGCAATCCCACCAGCAGGGGCAGCTACAGCAGCCGCAGCAGCACCACCAACAGCAGCAGCAACAGCAACAGCAGCAGCCTCCTAGCCAGCAGCAGACGCCCCCCGTGCCGACGTACAAATGGATGCAGGTCAAGAGGAACGTCCCCAAACCTGCAGGTAAATGAGAACACTTCAGTAGAACCTCGGGAGAGATTTTCTGCGACAAAACGACAATCGTGACAGAGAATCAAAATGGCGTCAGCGTGCCAACTGCCGGTCTCCATAAGGGTTGACGTTCCCCCTTTCCCCCTCCCCCACTCACCTCCACGCCCAGGGCCAGCCTCATTCATTAGCCAATTAGCACTCCCTGTCCCCGGATTACCGCTGGGATTTGGCCCGCGTGGGCGGGGGATCCGAGCGGCCTGAGAGCGCGCAAAACAGGCCGAACGAGGGGTGACTGTGTGGCTTCTAGCGAGGCGCGCCGCGGGGCGGGAGGGAGGGAGGCGTGGCCACAGCATGGCCATGACCGGGGCACATGGACAGAATCCTCCTCGGCGCATCACTTTGCATTCCCGCACTGCAACAGGAGGCATCACTTTACAACACATTTTGTTGCTATCTCAATGAGGATTACCGGCTGCACGATAGCGCAGCAAAACTACCTACCTGTACTTCGGCACGGTTGCGAAGGCAAAGTGATAATAATCGCTGCTGATGAGAGACGTAACCTAAACCTCGCACTTATGTACCTACCACATGACTAAGGATCAAATTTTTTTTAGAAATGATTTTATTGTTGTTTTTTGCGTGTATTGTTGTCTTGTGTTTTGAATACGATGTGACATGTGCTCCGCATCACAACTCTTTTCGAACGACGCTTTTTGAACTCCGTGGATCCGCACCCAACAAGCACCAGCTGATCAATGTGGATCACTCGACGTATACCGGGGCACTACTCGTCGTCAGTGTGAATAACCTCTCTCTCCGGCGCCGCGGCCCGCGTTGGGCGGCGGCGGCGGCGCCTGTCCGGCGGCGCCTCGCGTCGCGACGCCCCGCCGTGTCGCCAGGAGGATTTCATATCGAATGTCTGGTGACCGCGGCGGCGCGCGGCGGGGGCCGGACCAGTGGGCTTAGAGCGATGATAGCGGTGCAGAAAGTGCGGCATCCTGATTGAATAAAATGACCGAGCCAATATAGCCGGCCGGCCAAATCTCGGTAGCGGTTGCGATGCGAGGACGTCTGTATGGTCTGTGTCCTGATGCGCCTTTTGCAGCCGGAGGCAAGTCGAGAAGGTTGTGACAATGTGTGTCCTCTTGTAAAAGGGTGGGTTCAGTTTCCTCTCATTGGCTCAATATTTTTAACATCGGACTTTATGGCCATTGGTGCCATGTTGTCGGTTCCAAACGGGTTCTGAATTTCGTGTCAACGTTGTTTTTCGCTCTGGCTATCCACCTAGCTGTTAGATATACTTTGAAATTTTGCAATAGTTCAACGAATATTCAAACTTTAAAGTAAACTTTCTGGGGCTCTCTCGGGTCGGGACAAACCTTTGGACCGTTTTGGCGCCCCCTCACAACCCCTCCCTGCGCTCCTGCGGGGCGCATTTTTGCCCCCCCCCCTGGAATGCATTCTGGCTCTCTTCCGGGATTCTTAGGGAGGGACAGCCTACCCCGCCTTGCCGCTGCGCTGAAGCCCGTCGTCGGCGTGAAAGGTGCGTCCTTCGGGGACAAAAGTCGCGCTCACGCTCCGCCCATACCGAGGCCTCTGCCGTGCTCGTGTCCGTTGCCCTGCTCGTGCCCGCGCTCCTACCCGTGCTCGTGTTCGTGCCCCTGCCCGTGCTTGTGCTCGTGCCCTGCTCTTGCCCGTGCTCGTGTCCGTGGCCCTGCTCGTCCCCGTGCCCGTGCTCGTGCCCCCGCTTGTCCCCGTACCCCTGCTCGTGCTCGTGCACGTGGAGGCGAGGCGGGTTTGTATTTACATTGGCCGATGGCAACAACGCCGCCCTCCTCTCCTCGCTTATCGTCGCCGAGCTGCGCCGGGCCGGCGAACGCCTCCCGTGATCCTGATCCTGACCAGCGGGCTCCCCCTCCGCTTTGGCCGTGGCGCTTATCGGAAGGGCTGCGTGTGATTGTCAGTTTTGTGTGTTTGTGTGCGCGTAGGTGTATACCTCTGCTGGGCGTGACTGTGTGGACGGAATAGGTTTGCTGACACGTGTATATCAGCAGATGAACGGGGCGCTGTTAGCGGTGGACGCGGTGCCGTCTGGCGTCGCGTCGCGTGCTGCTGGTGGCGTCGAGAGTAATGACGGCGAGTCCTCAGCCGTCCACACCGGGCTCGTGTCCCTCGTCGGCGCGGCGGCGGCGCCCCCTCGGCGCCCCCCTTGACCCGTCGCCCCCCTCCCCCCCTCGTCCCCACCGTCCCCTCTCCCTGGCAGCGCCAAAGATAAGGGCGTCAGCCGTCGACGCGATTCCCTTACGCTCGTCTGCTGCCCACGAAACCGACGTGAGGAAGGAGAGGGGGGTGAACGGGGGACGAGCCGGCGGCGGCGGCGCTTCAGGTTGGGCAGCGCGTCGTGCAAGTAACTGCGCCGCCGTCCTCGTGCCCTGCCTGCGCGCGGACCGTGGGAGATCCAGATGAATGAGATGACAGAGTCATGAATGATTACCGCTGAATAATTCACGTATCATGTCTTCGTGCTTCACATACTGATATTATTATTATGATTTACAAAAAAACAAACCAGCATGTTAAGGCAGTAGGCTGGCAAAGGGTTAGAGGAAAGACATGTGACTTGCAGACCGTGCCCCCGCCCCCCTCCCCAACCGTCACCCTCATCCCCTCCATACGACCAAACTTTGCCGATTTCGTAATGCAGCAGATCAGATGACTTTATATGGCTCTCTCCCCCCGCGCGCGTGTGTGTGTAAGCTTGATCGCAGAATGAGGGGTTGCGCGGGGTGGGACCTGGGTCCCCCGCGGCAAGCGACAACAGCGAAGGTGGAGGGGGAGGGGGGG